TTAAATTCTAGCAACCCACTTTGCGTTTTAGTTTATTTTAGACCAATAATTCCAAACGTTTCCTAGATATCTACTTTTGACAGAGAATTAAAATAAAAACCTACAGAAAAATGAAATCTCTTCACTTACCAACATGAATATAATGAAATGGTTGATATCTGTTTTTGTGAGGAACCACTTTTAACTTTTGATTTGGCCATTGTAGCACGCCGGGTAGGCTGGCATTAGGGCCGTGCAGGTAGCCCACGTACCTTCACAATGCTAACTATTTGTATTCGGCTCGAGTATTTAGAGAAGTCTCGGTGTGCTACATAAAAACAAGAATAAAATTAATTTTGTCTTCCTGATAATAAAACAGTTGTTGTGTCACATCATTTACAGCGACGAATCAAACTTGTTTTTCGAGTTTAGCTATTGTCAAAGCCAAACATCCTCACTAAAACACTTGGAGAGACCCAACTACAAACATCACTACACATGTCAGCCAGATATCAGATTTGACCAATTGCAAAAAAGTTTTCGAGATAAGATGACCACGTTGCATCATGCAGCAAAATGTCAATAGAGAGCACTTTCTCCAAATCGGTATTTACAGTCTCCGGTTGAGTGCACCTCAACGGAACACCATGAGATGTTGCACAGATTGTACTAGCTCCTCTGCTAGCTGTGTGAATTTGGTAGTCTAGTGATGAGCAGTATGTGGTCATCACGTGCACTGACTGTGAAAAGCTAGGAGTCTGAATTGCTTTCGTGTGTAAAATTGTACTGAGGAGCAGACTGATCGAAGTGTTACAGGAAGCAAAGGAAGCTTCATTGACTGTTGAATATGCTGCTTGTCAAGACCGTGAAAGTGGTGGTCTGCGTTCTTAGCAGAGACTTCAACGCACTTGTGCTTGCTGCAGTCATGCCCACCTAACTCACACAAACGGCAATCCAATACAGAACGAATTGTTTCGTTTTAGGTCGAATCTTAACCGTATAAAGATATTGCTAACTTGTAGCCAAGACATACAGAAAAGTACATACTGAGAATTGGGAAAGGGATAATGAGGGAGCGGGAGAATTTACGAGGAAGTATTATCTTGAAAAAGTATGAAGAATGTTCTGAACTGGGCCTCATATTCTACCAAAATTCGATAAGAAATTGATAATTTTCCTTATTGGTGGAGAAAGCATTCAAGCCTGCCCTATCCAGTCACTTAGTATAGCCATGACGGCACTATCAAATACGGTGACAGAAAACTTATTTTCGTTGTTTTTCTCGATTCCTCAAACAGATTATTGATAATTGACATGTTCTGACGTTGGCATTATCCACAACTCCGAGCGGGTCCTTCAATGACCTCGCGGTTGCGAGACTTTGGATAGCAAGCGGAACTCCACAAGAACAAATTCACCCTGTCTGACACTTCGCGTGGGTACTCAGAGGGCGAAATATACATCACCTTCAATTTTCAAATAAGTGTTCACCTGATTTGTAAGCGACCTCATAATCAGCGCAGAGGTACTGTACGGTATTGGTAAGAGAGATAGAGCAATGAATTAACATTGCAGAAGGAGCACCAAAACTTCCGTGTACTGATTACACTTCGAGACACCCCAAGGAAATCCAATCTAAATTACTCGTCGTTTAACAATGCATCCGTCTCTTACAAGGCCTTCTTTGTACGCCTTTTCTTTCCTTTTTCCAGCACAAACTCTTGCTAATTAACCAAATAGGAAGTGGTTTGTGCTCAGGTATGAAAGCCTTTCTTCACTACTTTGTTGACACACAAATTGCACATGGCAGCTATAACAGGGGGAGAGGTGTGAAGGCACAATCTGCAGTGCCCGTATTTGATGCTTCACTTTGCCTCCAACTGGCAGACACCATCCCCGCTGCAGACTTGACAATTTATTTCTAATTTCCCTTCGTCCTCTTCCTCTACCTCTCTTTTGTCTTCTTCCTCTTCTTTATTTCTAAGCATTAGGTGCAGCACCCTCGAT